GAAGAAAAATTCCCATCAGATTATCCAGTAAAATCTAATTAATGGGAAAGGCTTGAAAGGAAGAGGTTAAAGGGAAATTTAACAGAGGTTTTCAAAAAATAAGATAACCTGTGGACATTTTTAAACAGTAAAGCACTACGCCAGTCTACGTAATGTGTGCAAACTTCTTCTTAAGGCATTGCCAACAAAGAGACACCCCTGCCTTTTCTGCAGAGAACAAGGCTAGGAGCTGGAGACAGAAGCAACTTCCCGCAAAGAGACAGCCTAAGTACAATCAGACTGACAGAAACAGAACAACTGCCTGAGGGAAGTTTCTTGGGGAGAGGGACTTGGAGTAAATCTTGAGTATTAGTAAAATTTGGGTCAGCTAGAGAAAATGTGAAGAGGATTTCTGGTCAGAGGAGATAGGAAGGAGAGGCAGAGATGGAGGGAGGCTGGGGACAGGTGTGAAGGTGAACAATCTGGGGTGTGCAGAGCAGGGCTGACAGGTGTCGAGCTGCATAGGGCGGTGGGGAGATGCTCGTGGGAGGAAGTGGGCTTTCGCTCCTGACCCAGGAGGAGCCCATGGAGGCGGTCTAGTAAGGGCATTTTAAGATCTGGGCATCGTAGAAAGATGTTTCATCTGTAGGTCATGTGTGTGACAGAGTGTAAGGAGGAGGTGACTTGGAAGTGGACCTTCCAGAGAAGCGACGAGTTTAGAAAAAGGCAGAAGAATAAGGTGGAACCAAGTGGTCACTGCAGGGGGAAGGCATAAAGAGGTGGGTCCATTCTCTGCTATTCTTCCTCTCAAAATTCTCTCTCTCCTGCAGAAAGCTAAGGTTATTTCAAACCCTTAAGAGTCGGGGGAACTCCTTTGCTCATTGAAATGACAGTTTTAAAGGTTCCATGAAATGAAATTCCATCTTTGGAAAGTGACTGCCAGCTGTCTGTCGAGAGGTATGGGAAATGCAAGGCAGATGGAAAGTTCTCCAAGAATGCTTCCACATCCTCTGGGAAGTACAGGTCTCAGTCTGCCTGTAGCAATGCCCAGGAGAACCTCTTGAGGGCCTGCTGTCCCCAGACTGGGCCACAGCCCTGCCCTCGGACCCTGGGAGACATCCTAAATCTGTCTATAGATGGTGAATATTACCTGCATGTTCATTCCTCTGGTTTGCTGCCCAGCGCCTTTTCTCAGCAGTTCAAACATTCAGACAGGGCATCCAGCGCCTTGTTAAAGGACTTCCCAAGCCCTCTGCCTGGAGTTGCCCTGGCCACAGAGCAACTGTTGCCACATCCTGCTCCCTTAATCCGGTCCCAGGTGACCTCGGGGGTAAGGGACTAAACAGGTGTGTAGGACGACTGTGCAAGTCAGTGAGGCCCAGCCTGCAGTGCCCGGAGACAGGAGTCACCAAGGAATTCTTGGCCAAGCTTCTCCACTACCCGAGAGGCACGTGGACCTCCATGGGTCGTTTCTCCTTAGAGTCCAGCAGAGTGGCCGGGGACAGCAGCTGGTGCTTGGATAAAGGCCGCTGCCGCTGGACTGGCATATGGTACCTGACCTTCTTCCAGAACCTCGAGTTCATGGACTGCGACCCCTCTCTAAAGTCCCCCGACCAGCGTATGACCCCCTGTTTCTGCTTAATGAATTTAATGGATTCTGGCATTTTCTCATAGTCTGGGATTTTCTCCAACTCCAGTAGGACAACTTTAATTCCTTCCTGAATGAGAGCATTGTACATGGCCACCTGCTCTTCAGATGAATTCCCCAGCCAGCTGAATCCTGACGTTTCTGGGACCAAAATGATAATCAGTCTTCTGCTTTTCTTTACATTTTCATTAACAACCTCAACAATGCCTGAAAAACATGAGACACAGCATAGTAAGTAAACTTTCAATTTATAATCCTTCCCCCGAGAACCAAGACCCCTCGAGGTTCTTCCCACCCCATCACCTATATCTCCCAATACTCTTTCTTCTCACCTTAAAATTGCAGGAGTTTCTCATTTTACAGAAGAGCTCAAACACTGACCCACAAAAGGTGAGTATTTCCTGTAGGCGTAGGAGTACTTTAAGAATAAATGTTATAAACTTTCCTGTTAAACTACTGGATCTGTATCACTTCTATTTTACCATCAGTTGTAAAGTAACTACTAGACCTAACTAGTTAAGTTCTGCAAAATAAAATAAAATTTAGTTAATTTTTGCCCCAATAGAGTATGAGAAAAATAAGCACTTTGCATTTAGTATGAAATCATCATGTGCCACTATGTGTTCTTGTTTGGTCTCTCAGTCATGTCTGACTCTTTTTGACCCTTTGGACTGAAGCCCACCAGGCTCCACTGTCCATGGGATTCCCCAGGTAAGCATACTAGAAAGGGTTGCCATTTTCTCCTCCAGGGGATCTTCCTGACCCAGGGATTGAACTCGCATCTCCTACATTGGCAGGCAGATTCTTTACCGCTGAGCCAGTAGGGAAGTCCCACTTAAGAGGCTCTTCAAGTTGTCAAATATGTACACCCAGGCTGCAGTCTTCCAGAAACAGGAAACCCAACTTTAGTAATTCAATTAGTTATACAAGATGTTACTTCTTTCCACTGCATACATACTTTCCCCAACATAGTCGTCCCGGCCACAGATGAACAGCTTATAGCCACACTGTTTTTCCAAGACCTCAGGCATGACTTTAAACACAAAAATATCTGAGTTACAGGTAGGCCCTTCCCCAGGGGTCTTTGGACATAGTATGTATGCATCATACGTCTTTCCATCTGAAACTAAAAGAGAAAATGCAATAGATTTAGAACCAAAAGAAAAAATGAGATTTGGTAAAGTCAATATCACAAACATGCATTTCATAGTGAATTGCTAACTTTGTGTACAATGCAGCACCAATACCAAAAAGTATAATGTCTTTTTAAAGTGTTCATCTCTGACAAGTTTCTTTTTATTGTGTCTCACTGCAAAGTTTTTATATTATTCAATGATCCCCCAAAAGGAAAGATTCTTTACCTGCCTAGTATGAAACTATCTTCATTTCCCTGTTCTCATCCTACTCAAATGTCTCAGTCCTGAATTTGATCCATTCTTCCTTTTATGCATTACTGTTGTTGCTTAGTCACTAAGTTGTGTCTGACTCTTTTTGTGACTCCATGGACTGTAGCCCACCAAACTCCTTTGTCCTTGGGATTCTCCAGGCAAGAACACAGGAGTGGGTTGCCATTTTCTTCTCCAGGGGATCTTCCGAACCCAGGTATCGAACCCGTTTCTCCTGCATTGGCAGGCAGATTCTATACCACTCAGCCACCAGCAAAGCCCATATATTAGTGGAGTAGTAGTTTTTTCTGAGGTTTAAACAAAATAGAGAATGCTTCCCTGGTGCATGGAAACTCGGTCATTTCTTTCATTTTATGGCAGATAATGGGGCGATCTCTGTGCTACCTAGCACAGAGCAAGTCTTCAACCATGGCTTCTGAATAACTGGATTTACAAGCAGATGGTCTAAATGCCAGGCTATCCCACCATTATGAACACCAGAGCAGTAAACTTAGAAAATATTAATACTATTCAGTCTATTCAGTCATGAAACTATAATTATGTATAATTACATTATTTTGTATGGACCACACTTCATTTTAAAATTTGAATAAAAACCCTCTTAACTACCCCCACTCTCTCAGGAAAATACTGCATAGAATACAAAATTGTACCTTTTTTGGGGAGGAAATCATAGAAGGAATCTCTGTACCAAAGCACGATGTCAACCTTGAAGACTTTGTAGATGCAGAGAGAGCATGTAATTACCAACGTTAACATGACGAATATACCAACTGTGGGCTTCTGGAAATCAGGGACTATAGCAGAGAAGAGGGAAAAATACATTAGAGCCCAAAGGACTTAAAACTGAGCACAGCAAATTAACCATTACCATCCCAGGAAACCATATTTGGGATGGGCCTGTAAGCCCAAATTCCAGACAGTATTAACTCATTCATTACCATATCTTATTAATGGGTTACTGTTGTTGTTTAGTTGCTAAGTCATGTCTGACTCCTTTGCAGCCCCATGGACTATAGCCTGGCAGTCTCCTCTGTCCATGGGATTTCCCAGGTAAGAACACTGGAGTGGGTTACCATTTCCTTCTCCAGGGGATCTTCCCAACCCAGGGATCGAATCTGCGCCTGTTGCATTTACAGGCGGATTCTTTACCACTGAGCCACCAGCAAAGCCCCTATTAATAGATACTAATCTACAAAGGCATTGAGGATGGATACTGTATAAAACTAAGGTGCACTGTATTTAATTTCCACTTATGTAGTATTCAATAACAGAAAAAACACCAAAGACCATAAGATAGGGCACTTCATAGGAATATGAGTAAAGCTCAGAAGCCTACAAACGTTCTACAGAAGAAGAGTCGGGTGGAGAAAGCGGCAGACTAGCGGAAAGGAAAGAAGAGGTTAGGACCGCCTGACACTGTTTCACACTCCACATTCTCCCAGCTCCACAGGCTAGTCAGTCAGCTGATGGCCGTGGAGGAGTCTGGTGGAGAGGCACGGGGGAGGAGGGCGGAGAAAGAAGAAGGAGCCTTCTCAACATCAGGGGCCAAGGAGACCACCAGGAAAGAGAATCTAAAGCTTGGTTATTTTGATTTTCCAATTTAAGTCACTGACCCACCTGCAGTTGAACTGGGTATGAAGTGGAAATCAAGGTAGATTAATGTCCGATTGGCCCATCTGATAATTCACATTTATATTCAATTACTGTAGCTTTTTAAAGTATTTATTTATTTATCGGGCTGTGTCGGGTCTTAGTTGCAGCACACAGACTCTCTAGTTGCGGTGCTCGGGTTTAGTTGCTCCACAGCATGTGGGATCTTGGTTCCCCCACCATGATCCAACCCATGTCCCCTGCATTGCAAGGCCGACTCTTAACCACTGGACCAACAGGGAAGTCCCCAGCTGTAGCTTTGTACAAGATCATCTTATCTGAAGTGTAAATCTTCCAGACTGCTTTTATTCAAGACCACCTTAACTATTCTGGGCCCTTGACATTTCCAATATGACTTTTAGAATAAACATACCCACAATAACATGCTCACACAAACACACACCCACACCTGCACAAATACTGCTGAGATTTTGATTGGAACTGGTTTCAATGTACAGATTAATTTGAGGGGAACTAGCATATTTATTCTGAAAGAGATGGGAATACCAGACCACCTGACCTGCCTCTTGAGAAACCTGTATGCAGGTCAGGAAGCAACAGTTAGAACTGGACATGGAACAACAGACTGGTCCCAAATAGGAAAAGGAGTACGTCAAGGCTGTATATTGTCACTCTGCTTATTTAACTTATATGCAGAGAACATCATGAGAAACGCTGGGCTGGAAGAAGCACAAGCTAGAATCAAGATTGCCAGGAGAAATATCAATAACCTCAGACATGCAGATGACACCATCCTTATGGCAGAAAGTGAAGATGAACTACAAAGCTTCCTGATGAAAGTGAAAGAGGAGAGTGAAAAAGTNTGGACAGGGAGGCCTGGCGTGCTGCGATTCATGGGGTCATAAAGAGTCGGACACGACTGAGTGACTGAAATGAACTGAACTGAGCGTATCTATCCCTGGAGAAGGCAATGGCACCCCATTCCAGTGGGGTGGAGAATCCCACCTGGGAGAATCTTGCCTGGAGAATCCCAGGGATGGGGGAGCCTGGTGGGCTGCCGTCTATGGGGTCGCACAGAATCAGACACAAGTGAAGTGACTTAGCAGCAGCAGCAGCGTATTTATAATACTGAGTCTTTCAATCTATGATTATTTATCCCTCCATCTATTAGGTCTTTATCTTAGTAATTATTTTTAGTTTGCATCAATTGTTGCTGCATTTATTCCTAAGTATTTGATGTACTTAGTCTGATGTACTTAGTACTTTATTTGATGTACTTTATTTGATGTACTTAGTATAGCTTTGATGCTATTATAAATGCTATTTTTTTAAACTTAAGTTCTATTTCTTCATTGTTGGTATTTAAAGATATACATAGAAATACTACATATACACATATATAGCAACCCACTCCAGTATTCTTGCCTGGAGAATTCCAGGGGTAGTAGAGGAGCCTGGCTGGCTGCAGTCCATGGGGTCACAAAGAGTCAGACATGACTGAGTGACTTTCACTAGTGATCTTGCTAAATCCATTTACTAATTCTAATAGTTTGTCCATAGGTTCTTTTAGATTTTTTTCCGTGTACACATTCATAAATATTTTAATTCAACTATAAATTATCTTAAAATGTTTCACATACTTTAAAATTTTTATTTATTGAAGTATAGTTGGTTTATAATGCTGTTTCGGGTATACAGCAAAGTGATTAAGTTATATGTATGTGTGTATGTACACGCTTTTCCAGGCTTCCCTGGTGGCTCAGAGGTAAGGAGTTTGCCTGCCACTGTAGGAGACGCAGGTTTGATCCCTGAGTTCAGAAGACCCCACAGCCAGAGGAGCCTCGCTGGCTATAGTCCACGAGGTCACAAAACAGCTGGACACAATTTAGAAACTAAACAACATATACACTTTTTTCAGATTTTCTTTCCCTTATAGGTTATTACAAAACACTGAGCATATAGTATTTACTATATACAGCAGGTTCTTGTTGGTTATCTATTTTATATACATTAGTGTGTACATGTTAACCTCCTAATTTCCACACCCCCCGCTTTGGTAGAGCTTCCCTGATAACTCAGTTGGTAAAGAATCTGCCTGCAATGCGGGAGACTGCAATGGTTCAATCCCTGGGTTGGGAAGATCCAATGGAGAAGGGAAAGGCTGCCCACTCCAGTATTCTGGCCAGGAGAAGTCAATGGAATGTATAGTCCATGCAGTCGCAAAGAGTCGAATACAACTGAACGACTGTCACCTCACTACCCTTTGGTAACTATACGTTTTCTATATCTGTGAATCTGCTTCTGTTTCGTAAACAAGTTCATTTGTATCTTTTTTTTTTAGATTTCATATATAAGTGATATCATATATACCTTTCTCTATCTGGCTTACTTCACTTAGTATGATAATCTCTAGATTTGTCCATATTGCTGCAAATGGAATTCTTTTTATGGCTGAGAAACATTTCATTACAAATATATACCACATCTTCTTTATCCATTCATCTGTCCATGGACATTTAGGTTGCTTCCATTATGCTTCTATGAACTCTGCATTTCATGTATAGTTTTCTCTGAATATAGGCCCAGGAGCAGGATTGTAGGATCATATAGTAACTCTACTTTTAGTTTTTCAAGGAACTGCTCTATTATTCTCTATTATAGAGACTGTACCAACTTACATTCTCACCAACAGTATAGGAGGGTTCCTCTCTCCACACCCCCTCTAGCATCTATTATTTGTAGATGTTTTGATGATGACCATTCTGACCAGGGGCTTTCCTAATAGCTCAGCTGGTAAAGAATCCACTTGCAATGCAGGAGACCCTGGTTCGATTCCTGGGTCAGGAAGATCCCCTGGAGAAGGGATAGGCTACCCACTCCAGTATTCTTGGGCTTCCGTTGTGGATCAGCTGGTAAAGAATCTGCCTACAATGCAGGAGACCTGGGTACCATCACTGGGTTGGGAAGATCCCCTGGAGTAGAGAACAGGCACCCCACTCCAGTGTTCTTGCTTGGAAAACCCCAGGGACAGAGTAGCCTGGTGGGCTACAGTCCACAGGGTCTCAAAGAGTAGGACACGACTTAGCAATTGAACAACAACAATGAATCTTAAGCCAACATCTGAGGTTCNATTTTGTTTATAGTTTCATTTGTTGTACAAAAGCTTTTAAGTTTAATTAGGTCCCATTTGGTTTTGTTTTTATTTGCATTATCTAGAAAATGGATCAGAAATAATATTGCTGTGATGGTGGAAATAGTATTTCTCAGTCATGTCCAACTCCTGTGACCCCATGGACTATATGTAGTCTGCCAGGCTCCTCTATCCATGGGATTCTCCAGGCAAGAATACTGCAGTGGGTTGCTATTTCCTTCTCCAGGGGATCTTCCCCACCCAGGGATCAAATTCACTTTTCCTGCACTGCAGGCATCTTCTTTACTACTGAGCCACCAAGGAAGTCCAATATTGCCGTGATGGGTGTCAGTGTTCTGCCCCTGTTTTTCTGCAGGAGGGCCAAGACATAGCTCCACCCCTAGGAGGCCTGAACAAGTCTCTACACCAGCCTCACCCACCAGAGGGCAGACACATCTCACAGCCTGTGGAACAGAGTACACAAACAGGGCAGGACCTACCCTGGGACCACGGCCCCTGGTCCCTGGGTGATGACAGGGAGGTGTACTGATGGGACAACAGAATGTTCCCCAGAGACGCCACTTCTCCAAGGTCAAGGAACATAACTAACCTTCCATATACACAAAAATTCAAATAGAAATCTACACAAAATGAGACAGCAAAACAGTACATTCCAGACAAAGGGGCAAGATAAAACCCTTCACTTAGAAAAACAACTAACTGAAGTGGAGATAGGCAGTCTACCCAAGAAAGAGTTCAGTATACTGATTGTAAAAATCATAAAGTTCTACTCAGGAAAAGGGTAGATGCACAGAGTGAGAAGTTACAAGAAGTTTTAACAAAGAACAACCCAACAGAGCAGAAGGATACCATAACTGCAATGAAAAATATACTAGAAGGAGTAAATAGTAGAATAAATGAGACAGAAAAATGAATCCATGAGCTGGAACACACATACTGGCAATATTGTGTTTGATTATACAATGTATGAAAACCAGTAACTTCTGACATCCTTTCTGGAAAGTAGATATTTCAGCTTCCCCTGTGCATCCATCATGGAGTTCTTTACCTACAAGTATTCATTAGGCACCTAGGATGATCAGGATGCAGGTCAAGAAGCAACAGTTAGAACACGATAGAGAACAACAGACTAGTTCCAAATCAGGAAAGGAGTACATTAAGGCTGTATATTGTCACCCTGCTTATTTAACTTATATGCAGAGTACATCATGCGAAATGCCGGGCTGGATAAAGTACAAGCTGTAATCAAGATTGCTGGGAGAAATATCAATAGCCTCAGATATGCAGATGACACTACCCTTATGGCAGAGAGTGAAGAACTAAAGAGTCACTTGATGAAAGTGAAAGAGGAGAGTGAAAAGGTTGGCTTAATACTCAATATTCAAAAAACTAAGATCATGGTATCTGTCGCATTACTTCCTGGCAAATAGATGGGGGAAAAAATGGAAACAGTGAGAGACTTTATTTTTTTGGACTCCAAAATCACTGCAGATGGTGACTGCAGNGCTCTGGAAATAGAATGATTAGCAATTGTCTGCATTATCACAGAACTTACAATCAAGTAAAGAAAACTAAGTAAGATAGATATGGAAATACATAGCTGAGGTCCTAACACCTTATCTTTTGGGACAGAGAGATGCGTTAAAAGAAGGAAAGTAGGACAGAAAAACCTCACAGAAGATACAGTTCACCTGAGAAGTAAAGTGAATGGAAGTCCCCAGGTTAAAAGGAATCTAAGAGCATTGTGGGCAGAGGAAATAGCATTGCAAACCTGAAGGTCATGATATCTCACCACGGGAAAACAAAACTGCATTTCAAATAAACGATTCTTGTTTACCTGGATGTATTAATTGTATATATGCTGTGCTTATTCCTTCTGTATTCTTGGCTAAACAGGTAAATGGATGCAGGAAGAATTTACTTTCCACTGCCGAAATATTAAGCCGTGCGAGGACTGTACTCCTTCTTCTGTTTAAAGGATTCTCCACTCTGTTCAAAAGAGTAAGTAAAATGGTATAGATGGCATCAATTACAGAAACAATACATATACCTGGTTTCTCTCTTTGTTGCATAAACTGCAGCAGTAAGAATCACCAGCCTAAAGCACAGGTGTAAGAATAAGGCTGTAAGCAGCACACTGATCTGATATTTGATAGCTTTGGGACCACTTACTAGCAGAGAGAAATCAAATTAAAATTACAAGCTTTCAAAAAGAAAAATGGGGATGCAGGCATTTTGGGCTACATGGGGCACAGAGAATATATGAAACAAGAGTAGATCGAGACAGATGGGCAAGGTTCCTAGGTGATGCTAAGGGTTGGGAGTTTCTCCCTGGAGAAGTAATAGGGAGCCATCAGAGACTTGAGCAGGGGCGTGCTTTAGTTCTTGGTTGCATTTCATGAGTCTTTCGTAAACTACTTTGAAATGACATGAAGGGAAATTCAGGATGATTGCATCATTGGAATGTTGCAATTTTTAACTGAATTTAAGAGAAAGCCTTCCAAGTTGTCTGGAATTGGTACCATAATAACATGCAGTTCACCTGCATTGTACAAGATCTTATGAATCCTACTTAGCTTAGCAAAACTCAAGGGTCAATCAAAGACCCACTTGGAGAAGGAAATGGCAAACCACTCCAGTATTCTTGCCTGGAAAATCCCATGAACAGAGGAGCCTTGTGGGGTGCAGTCCACAGGGTCACAACAACTAAGCACAATGACCACTAATACTTGGTACTAACTCTTGCTTTGTTATTTAGCCACTCAGTCACGTCCAACTCTTTACGATCCCATGGACTGTAGCCTCCCAGGCTCCCCGTCTTCCCAGGAGAACACTGGAGTGAGTTGCTACTTCCTCCTCCAGGAAATCTTCTCAACCCAAGGATTGAACCTGCATCTTCTGCATTGTAGGTGGATTCTTTATAAGTAAGCCACCAGAGAAGCCAGCCCTTGCTACCCTTGGAATTTAATACCACAGTTTGTCTAGGCCATGACTGACTCTCGGCATACTTACATTATAAAGTCTTCCTCTAGCACAGGAGTATATGTACTAATCATTGACCCATTCCACTTCCAGTAGACGTAGTTACTTATCCGGCCAGTAACATTGCAGATCAATTGAAGCCAGGATCCTGCAAAGCAATGTATTTTTAAATCATAACATTAATGGAGTCTGGTCTATCTAGATTAACAAATGACTGCTGAATAAAAATTTGAAAGTATAAGAAAGGAAAAGGAAATTGCTCTTACATCTACCACTGATGACCATGATTAGTAACTTCATGTATCTTATTCCTTACCTTTCTGTGCACTATGCAGCTTTTAAAATGGGGCATTATCATCTACTCTGATTATTGAGAATTTCAGCTCACATGATCAGCCTTCCAAAACAGGCTATTTCATAGTGGTTTAGTATTCCATCATACAGACATATTATGACAAGCTCCTTTCCTATTGCAAAACATAATTTCCTAATTTTTAATTATGATTGATATAACAATGAACATGCCTGTCCATCAACATTGTACATATCCTGAAATATTACCCTCCATTTTTTGAGGTTTATAAGTCAGAGATTGGGGAAATTTTTTGTTTGGATGGCTTTTTTCTCCCTTATTAATCCAATATATTTTTTAAAAATTTTGCTAAGATACTTTATTGACAGCTCTGTTGTGATAGGATCTCTTTTCCTGTTATGTTTACTTGCTGGTTTTTGCTAAACAAGTCTAATACTATAGTATATTAATTTTATATCTGGCCAGATAATACAATAATTACTCTAACTTTCCCCAGTAAATCTCTTGAAATTTATAGATATGTAATTATACAATCGAAAAACAAGAAAGTTCTTTTCTCCCCTACAGTCAGCAAGCCTTGGATCCTTTATCTTTGCATTAGTGGGCACTCCTGTAACAAGTTAAGTAACTGTTAACTGTTATAGTAACTGTTACAAGTAACAGTTAACTGTTCATATGGGCATCTTAGTCTCATTCTTGACTTCAATGAGAAGGTCGAGACCTGTATGAGGTTTAACACTATAGTGTTTCACAATTAAAAATGCTGGTGATGACTGGTTTGAATTCATGTTCTTTATCAAGTGCAGAGGGCTTCCTAGGTGGCTCAGTGGTAAAGGAGCTGCCTGCCAAGTAGGAGACACGGGTTTGATCCCTGGGTCAGGAAGATCCTCTGGAGAAGGAAATGGCAACTCACTCAAGTATTCTTGACTGGGAAATCCCATGGACATGGGGTCCAAACGAGTTGGACACGACTGAGCAACTAAACATCATCATCATCAAGTGCATAAAATGTCCCTCAGTTCCTAATTTTCTAAGTCATTTTATTGGTAATTAATGTGAAATTTTATCAAATAAAAGCTTGACTATAGCATAACCTTATGCTATGGTGAACAGGCCTCTGATCAATGTGATGTATTAAAATAATTATTTCAAATGTAGGAGGGAGGAGAAAGGGACGACAGAGGATGAGCTGGTTGGATGGCACCACCAATTCGATGGACATGAGTTTGAGCAAGCTCCAGGAGTTGGTGATGAACAGGGAAGCCTGGCGTGCTGCAGTCCATAGGGTCACAAAGAGTTGGACATGACTGAGAGACTGAACTGAATGTAGTTATTATTTTTAGATCTGTAGATCAAATCTAGGCTTTAGAGAGAGCTCTTAAACACACATTCCCAGAGCATGACTTATCAACAGGGAAGAATGTGCTTCTTAGCGAGCAGAGCAAAAAAACTTATCTATTGCAGTGGTCTGCAGTCTCTAAAGTGCCAGAGTACATATCTGGGCATTAAATATCTGAGAAAGTAAAGAGGATTGGGAAAAAAATGTCCTGTTAGGTGCTACAGGGGAAGAAAAAGGGAGGAAATAAAAGGTTGAAAACACTGCTCTGAAATCTACTGGCCAATATTTAAAGTCTTCATATCTTTGTTTACATCTATGAATATCTGTATATTACCTTCCAACATGAAGAACAACTTGGCCAAGTACAGAATTCAGAGGTCATGCATTTTAGCTTTTAATCTCTGTACAATTGTTCTTTGTCTTCATGAAGTTACCATTACAGAAAAGAATTCTATATGCCAGCCTGAATTTTGATCCTCTGATACAAAAGAAAAGTCTGTTTTTAT